GAGATAAAGGGTCCCATCTTTAAGTAAAAACAACAAACTAGACTAGATAATGGAATACTGCTCATAAATTGGAGATACAGCTTTCCTTCAGTGTAATCCTGGAAAGGATTAAAGAGGGGGCAGGTCAAGAACAAGCTCTGTAGCTCAAGTCAGATGTTTCAGGCAAATAACTATTCTACTCTGAAAGTACTTGAGAAAACAGTTCCATGTTAACAGTTAGATGACACAGACAATTAACAGTGTCTAAAAGACTGTTCTCAAGGGGTAAGATTTCTGAAATATTCTATGCAATCTGAAATGTTTTAATTTCATAACAGTTTGTCTGGTTAATGTTTTAGCGATTACCTTAAGAGAGAAACAAAAAATCCCTACTCTCATCCACTTCACTGATATTTCTAGGTGATAAATCTGACAAAGAATATATTAGTGGCCATTAATTCCCACTTGCCTTACGTTGGCAGAACATTCTTTTTAATTCATGACATTGCAGTTAAGTTCTGATAAGTGTTTTGGATAGGCCGAGGCAGTAGATAACAGGGGCTGCTGATAAGAGAATAAAGAGATAAAATAGTGTGATTTTTAGAGTGGAGAGACCAGCAATGACTCTCTGACAGTATTCCTTGTACCTGGGTAGTTATAAATAAGGCCTGAAAGGAGTGTGGATGCATAATTACAACTCTAAAGGCACATGGTGCTGTAAGAAGAAATGCTACAAACATAAACTCACATCAAGCAGATTCTGGATACAAGATGCTCATGGTAGGGCAATCCTGACTCTGATTGCACCAGATAAAGCATAAAAAGGTGTTGCTGTGGTTCATGATGAGCCTGAAGAAGCCAGTCTTGCTTGGGCAGAAGCCAGCCCAGGCTGAGGGGCTCTGGCAGGGCAGGGAGGGAGCCCTGAGCACAGCTGCATCACTGCCTCTGCACCTTGAGGATGTCCAATACAGCCCCTGCAGGGATCCCTGTCCCACAGCACAGGTGTTGCTCAGGCAGACAAAATTCCTCTTCACATGTAGCTGAGGTACCTACACTGACTCTTCTGGACAAGTTGGATTTTTTTCTTCCTTCCCATCATTTCCCCAGAGAACTTTTACCTGCTGAGACTCTTTAGTAAATGAAATACCCAGGGAGGCAGAGACAGACATTTAAAGGAAAACAGTTCCTACTGATGCTAAGAGGAGGATGGCAAAAAGTTTCCTTTCAATAAAGTATTTCTTAGTAAGAATCCTCCTGTTTAAAATTCTTCATTTTCATATTCACAAAAACCTAACAGTTTCAGTAAGATTTCTGGGGAAATTCTTATGTTTACAAGATATAGAACTCCCTATTTTCTTCTAAATCTAACAGTCACTCAAATCCCAACAGCTGAGATGAAAAGGCTTTGGCTCTCCCTGGGTACTTTTCCTACTTCTTTGCTCTTTATGCTCCACAAGATGAAAACAAAAGCCCGTATGAGAGACTGAGTAAGACTGTGAATATGTGCAGTTCGTGGCTACAAAGGTCTCTCAGGAGAGAGATTTCCTCCCTTGGCCTCCCAGGACAGCCAGGCACAGAGCTGCTGTCATTAGAAGCCGAGCTGGACATTTATTTTTTCCCTCCCGTGCCTGCAGTTAGTAAATGAGCTGATGCTCCACCTGCTGGAAAGAACTACGTGAGCTCCAGAATTCAGCAAGTTCTTTCTGTGTGGAAAAGGCCATCAGTGACATCTCAAACCACCACCTCGTGTCAGCAGACAGAAAGGTGGCCAAGATTCAGCTTGTTCCTTTTCCAAGTGGTCTGTTCAGTGTGCAGATCTTGTGGTGCCTTTGAAACCTTTTGTTTTGACTTTACAGAGAAAAGAGAAACAGAACAACTGTGATTCTATGGACAAACTGCTACTGAGTAATTAAAATTGCAGGTTTAGATTTAAAGTGAGGAAGAAATTATTTACTCACAGGGTGGTTAGTCCAGAGGAGGCCATGGAATTGCTCCAAGGGCTGGAACCCCTCTGCTCTGGAGCCAGGCTGGGAGAGCTGGGAACGCCCAGCCTTGAGAGGAGAAGGCTCCAGGGAGAGCTCAGAGCCCCTTGCAGGGCCTGAAGGGGCTCCAGGAGAGCTGGAGAGGGACTGGGGACAAGGGATGGAGGGACAGGACACATGGAGTGGCTGTAAGCTGAAGAAGGGTAGGCTTAGATGAAATGTTAGGAAGCAATTCTCCACTCTAAAGGTGGTGAGACACTGGTGCCAGGATGGATGGGGCTTGGAGCAGCCTGATCTGGTGAAAGGTGTCCCAGCCCATGGCAGGGGGGTGGAATGAGAGGAGCTTTAAGGTTACTTCAGCCCAAACCATTCCATGGTTATGATGCTAAGTAACACTTTTGCTCTAAGTTTGATATAGGCTAACTTATTCGGAGCAATAATATAAAATGAAGCTGAAAAGCAGCAGCACTGTTTCTTTTCTTCTCACTTCTACTAACTTTTACTTTTCTCTGAATTTTTCCAATGGTAACATAAAAGAAGCAAAATAATAAAAACCCCTGAACTAATTCAACAGCGTAAAACATCTGCTGAGGGTCGCCAAACTGGCTGACATAATACACATACAGCAAGTTAAAATAGGAAAAAAGTAAAAGCCTCAAGGTAGAAATGCATCTGGCAAGATCAAAGTCACACAGCTCGTACTATACTCTTACAAGCAAAGTTCTTTTATGAGTTATGTTATGATTTACAGTGGTCTTTGTTTCATTAAACTCAAACACATATGCTTCAGATACATCTACACCGATGCCTGGAAGAAACCTCCTGACCCTCAGGCAGCCTGAGCCACTTGAGCTGGCTGCTCTGTGTCCCACATAAATAATGATGAGAGAGGCAGCTCCAATCTCTGCTCCCCAGGACCTGAGGGAACGGCTGGAGCTGAGCCAGGGGAGGTTTGGGTTGGATCTCAGGGAAAGGTTCTTCCCCCGGAGGTGCTGGCAATGCCCAGGCTCCCCAGGGAATGGGCACAGCCTGAGGCTGCCAGAGCTCCAGGAGCCTTTGGGCACCCCTGCCAGGGATTTTGGGGTGTCTGGGCAGGGACGGGAGCTGGTGATTCTTGTGGGTCCCTTCCAGCTATGATTTCTATGGTTCCAGAGTTCTGAAAATAAAATAATAAACATATCTCTTATGAGAGATTATGTCAGACACAGAACATTAGTTTGACAGTTAACAAACATTTCCCAATCCAAAGGAAGCCAAGAATGTCAGAACCATCCCTGATGAACTGGGATTTGCAATGAAGATTGCTGTCAGAAAGTTAGAGAACTGCTGGGAAATTATTAGTTTACATCTCACTAAAGCCAAATACTTGAGAATACAGAAGTAGAACCTCTTCCCTCCCTAAAAAAGAACCATTTTAATAAATAATCGTTTCATTTTGTCTGTTCAGTTTTGGGTTTCTAGGGAGTAGCTGAGTGATATTTTCAAATGTATTTTGATAATCATAGAAGCTGTAATTTCAGAGAGAGATTATTCTCTTATCTAACTAAAACTTCTAAGGACAGCACCAAAAAATGTTCTCTGTTGTAGTTCTGCTCAGCAGCAAAAATAGTGAAAGATTTGCTAATGCCCAAAGGGAAAAACTGCAGACAGTTCAGATCCAAATTTTGTGATGTTTGACAGTGCTAATGAGTGATAATGAGCAACACTTGAGATCACACAGAAATGACTAATATTCAAGATATCAAACCCCTCCTTTATGATTTAGTCTGGATGACTTTTTTAAGCCATGGATAACTGTATGCCAGAACAGTCCCTGCTTTGCCTGACATCCACAAAAAGCAGCGATGGAAAAGGGGATCTGCACCACACCAAGCTCATCTCCACTGCAAAGTTCACACCACCTCTAGCACAGAAGGGCAAATAACAAGAGAGCTGCTATTTCCCATCAGCAGCTTCAGGAAAATGAAGTTAGCTAAGAGACTTATTCTACAACACCCCATTTCCAGCAGCCAAAGAAAGGCCTGTGTGTCTGTGTGAGACCCCACCTCCAGTGCTGTGTCCAGCTCTAGGGCTCCCAACATCAGGATGGAGAGCAGCAGGGAATACAGCAGGAGAGTCCAGAGGAGGCCATGGAGATGCTCCAAGGGCTGGAGTCCCTCTGCTCTGGAGCCAGGTGGGGGTGGTCACCTGCAGAGAAGGCTCCAAGGAGAGCTCAGAGCCCCTTGCAGGGCCTAAAGGGGCTGCAGAAGAGCTGGAAAGGGACTTGGGATGGAGGAAAAGGACACAGGGAATGACTTCTCACTGGCACAGGGCAGCATTAAATAGGATATCGGGATTCAATTCTTCCCTGTGAGGGAGTTGAGGCCTTGGCACAGGTGCCCAGAGAAGCTGTGGCTGCCCCTGGAAGTGTCCAAGGCCAGGACAGGGCTTGGAGCAACCTGGGACAGTGGAAAGTGTCCCTGCCATGGCAGGGGGCTGGAAATAGATGTTCCCTAATGTCCCTTCCAACTCAAACCATTCTGTGACCTGCAAAGGACAGAATGAAATGGCAGAAAGGCCTAAGACACTCAACTACTTTTCCCAAAGTATTCTTTTCCTAAGGTGAAAATAATTGAGAGCATAAGCAAGCAAAGGTATAAAAATGTCACGACAGAACATAAGCAAAGTGCCTATTCCTTGTCTACAAACATGCAAAACACCGTTCAAGGGGCATTAAAACTATCACAATGATAGATACAACTTGTAAATAACCAAATTACCAATGCTTCTGTAAGAATCATCACTAAATATTTACACTTCCTGTAGATCTATTATAGCTACCAAAGGAACACGAGGGGAAAAAAAACCAAACTGAGCAAGACCCCACAGCTCTGAGCACGTGAACAAACAACAAAATCTTTTACAAGCAGATGCCAGAAATGGCACATTGTGCCAGAATACGAGTAACAGCTGGAATGGAATTTTAAAATGGAATTTTAAAACAATCTTGACAGCGGAGGAAGCAGCTCCACAGCTGCTCCCCCGGGGTCCCGCTCTTACCTGGCTGGCCCTTGCCGGGATGCTGCTGTCCCGCCGCTCCCTGCTGAGGAGGAGGAGGAGGAGGAGGGCTGGCTCCCGCTGCTGCCGTGCCCGGCGCCGGGCCGGGGGCACTCAGAGCCCCGGTGGGCAGTGGCTGCCCCCGCTTTAGGAGCTGCTTCTGTTCCTGCTGGCGGAAGCGGGGAGGCACCTCTCGGGGCAGGTAGCGGGACGCCGCAGGCTGCTGCCCGTTAGCAGACGCGCGCTTGCCATTGCTGCTGTTGGTGAGAGTGCTGGTGGAAGTACTGGTACCGGTACCGGCAGGTTGGGGCTGGCTTAAACTGGTCTTAATAGGTTCTGGCACTAGGGCAAAAGAAAATAATATTGGTTTAGGATCTGAAAAGCTATCAAGTTGGGTTTTTTTTTTACTGTAACCGGTTAACTGATGTTTTGCAGCCACCGGGAAGTTGGCAGAGTGTGTTACTTTTTGCGTGGGTTTACTTTCTGTGATGGTACTGGAAGCTTTTATGCCCTACTGAAACAAATCATCTGTATGGTTTAAAACAGGAGGGAGGACAAAAGAAAGCTTTGACAATTCAGTATTGAACAGAATGCTCATTTAAAGTGTGTGGCACCCTGCTGCACCCACCTTGAGCCCCCACTGCCTTTTCAGTTCAGCAGTTTAGGGGGCAACCTTGCCAATATTAACATCAAATCCCAGGGCCTACAGCCATGATAACAAACATTTTCAGTCTTCTAATAACCTCCCAAAAAAAACAAGCTAAAAGACCTGATCCACCAGCTTATTCAGCACTCACACTTTGGGTTTCTTGTGGTTTTTATCCAAACCTTTGCATCAAACACTCAGGACATCCCAGTCCTCCAGGCATTCATCTGATACCCCCCACAGTAAGCCTGCAATGAGGCAGCCAGGCCACAGCTGGCACGAGTGACCAGCAGCACCAGGTCCCTTTGGGACAGGCAGGAGGGAGTGCTGAGGGATGGCAGCCCTGGCCCCAACCCTCAGCTCACCTGGCAGCAGCTGCCAGAGCTCTTAGGTCACCCAGAGAAACTCTGAGCTTCTGGGATGAACAGATCCAAGCACTGCTCCAGCTCATTCACAGTCACAGAATATGCTGAGTGGGAAGGGACACACAAGGATCAGCACCCAGGTGCTGGCCCTGCACAGGACCTTCCCCAGGAGTCACAGCTCGTGCCCAAGAACGCTGTTCAGATGTTGCCTGAACTCTGTCACAGACACTATAAACCCACACTCAGCCTCTCTCCAGGCTCTGACACACCGAGGAAACTGAACAACTTCTACAGCTGCAGCACTGAAAGCACCAAGGGAATGCTGAGGGTGGGTTCAAAAGCAAGCAGGGGCTTGACCAAGTGAAAATATGCCAGAAAGTCTGACAGAACCATCAGCACTTCTCCAAGAAGTTTGTTTTGGAAGCCTAAATAATTTCACCTGTGATTCTGTCTGAACAAAAAAAAAGAACTCTAAGTATATTAAAAATTTTGAAGTACCACTAATACCTGAAGAGCAGAGAATAAACCTTCCTTAGCTTTTCAAAATACACAATCACCTTTGGAAACACACTGTTTATCCTTACTTTGAAATTTAAAACATAGATAGAAAATGTCGTGGAATGCAGAATAATTATTTTCAAATACCAAATCTGCATATTCAATGTGTATGTGAAAACTATTCTGTTTCCACAATACAAATAGATCTGTCGTTCCCATGATAGAAAATAAGTCTGACTTCATTGTAATGGGTTAATTTTAGCTCCTATTGCTTCTGCTACTACTGTAACAGCAATGTAAGCATTTACCTCTACTACCACTACCATCACAGAGACTCCAACATTTACAAACAGGGAGATCTGAAGGACTCAGGATTTCTGCAAAGTCATTTACCACAAGGTTCACCCAGAGCACTGCAGACACAGGCTGATCAACCAAAAATAACCCACCATGGCAGCCAGGGAGGTTCTCCAGCTCAGCTGACAGAGCAGGCACACACCCCCTGGTGCCAGCAGATGAGAGGGAATGCCAGGGAACAGGAGGAAAAGGACAAGAGAATGGAAACCACTCACTGGCATGATGCCAGCAGAGCTGGGATTTGTCTGGCCCCAAGATTTTCATGAGGAATATTAATTAATTGGATACATATTTTAGAGAGCAAGACAGGCAGCTTTTTACAAACCGTTATATTCTCAATATTGTGTATCTATAAATCACATCTGATACTTCCAAAGAGGTGTGTATACAGATATATTTATTTTTTAAAAATCACTAATGCAAGTCATAGAATAGACAACACTTTTCACTTCAGTATAAACTAACAAAGGTGTTTCATCACAAAGGTGGGGCCAGAAAAACCCATTTTCCCAGTGTTAGGGGCAATATTCTCCCTACATATCAGAATAACAGATGAGAGAAAAGAACAAAGAAAATCAAAATATCACTGTACTTTAGAATTAAAATATTTCTGCATATTCATGCTACTGTTTTTTCTCTAATCAACACAAAGCAAAGTAATTTTTATTTCGTACATCAAAATCTCTTTGAAGAGTACTTAAATGGAAGTTCTTGCAAGAATACTATGTCTACAAATCATGATAGCTGGAAAAGAACTGTTTAATTACACCAATGACAGGGAATAAAGCAAGAAGAGAGAACAACATCACATGAATGGGCTTGAGCCCTAAATTCCAGCTTCATACCAGGCTGGAATTTACACTTCAAATACAGCAACAATACTTAGAGAATATATATTACAAAGACAATACGACTGTGTTCTAAAAGTCATCCTCAGCAATGTTTAACCAGCAATTTTCACTTGATACGCACTGTGAGAAATACCAAATGTTCCAAGTGTCTGCCCTGGATGTCCTAATTACAAATTGCTGTGTGGTATTGGCAGTAACAGCATCTTTATAAAGCCTTTAGCTGTTCCACTCCCTGCAGGGCTGCCCCTGCCAGGATGGGTGTCCCTTGCAGAACACACAGGGTGCAAAGGGCTTTCCCCAGGCAGGGCACAAAGGCAGAGCAGCAGGAGCCTCTCTCAGGCAGCTCCTGGGCACTGGGAGCTCTGCCTTTCATCAGCCCCCAGGAGCAGCCTGAGCACCCTTTCACCTGGCAAGGAATCCGCTGGCACGGCTAATGGCACGTGGGCAGCTGCTGGAGACCAGAATTCAAACACAGCTTTATGGCTAAATTTGCCTGAATGCAAAAAAATGGTGTTTAAATCGTGTGGGGGAAAGGATTTAACACCCGGTGATTTTCATAACCAGCACGTGATTAAAGAGCTAAAGCAAAAACATTTAAGTGGAAAGCCTCTTGCAAAAATACAATTAAAGGCGTAAAATGAAAGCCTTGAGATTGCTCGCTCTTAAGATGTTTGTGATGGGTATCTGCTTACTCTCCATTCCGAGCTGTACATACACTAAACAATGAGCTTGCTTGTAATAATTATCAGTACTTAATGGTATCTAAACTTCTTAATCCAATTTTACCCAAACAAATCCAATAATTACTCCATATGCTTTTTGATGATTACAATCTCGGGAATCCCAACTGCATAAAAAAGTGTTACGAGCAATTGTAGGTGGATTTTATTAATATAATGAATAGGATCAGTCTAACAGATTTCAATTACAACAATAGCTTTTAAGTACATTTCTATGACATAAGGAAAGAACATGCATAAATGAAAGAAACTGGTTAAGCCACATAATACTGATTTATGGCAGCTTTTTCCTTTCATTCACCTCATTAACATTTCCCTGTATTTCAGAATCCCCCACTCCAGCTCTATAAAACTTGCATTTCTAAAGCCTTTGAGGACCAGACATTCCAGAAGAGAAACAGTTAAACCCAGAAATGCATTCTTGGCTGCTACTGTGACAGGATTTATTTACAGCTTCTATTAAACACAGCAGCTCCATTACAAAGTGCTGGATGTGAGGAGAATTTTTGATTATACAATGCCAATGCCTCACTGCGTTAAACATATCATGCCAGTGTATTATTTTTTTCCTTCAGCAATTCGTTCAGGTCATTGTTTGATGGGTTTATGAATTCATTACAGGAAACAGATGGATCCCATAATTCAGAGCTATTCTCCCAGCCAATCATATGGGCAATTTTTTTCCCCATCTTGTTCCCCCCCCTCCAAATCAAACTTAATGAAGCCACTTCCTCCACGGCCAGTTCCCTGCACACACACACACACTGCAGCACATCCACTGCTGGTTAAAGCTCCCTCCAAACACCAAAGCCTTTCCAAATGAAGCTGAGGAGCACAATCCCACAGACAGCCCCTCCGAGGTCAAACAGAGCGCCAGGAACTTACCCAAGTCGGGTGGAGACAGCCACAAAACACAGCATTAGAGTGGGCAAAACCACAAGTCCTCATTAGTGAGAAACCCATTTTTATTTGCTCACACAAGTCTGTTGCGGGAAAAAAATCTTGCCCCCACCCCTACCCCCCCAAATCTACTTTCAAAGGCTGAATTTTCATTTAGCAAATTACCTCCTTTGTCTCCTAAGTGCTGGGATTTGCTATCCACAGTGACATCTGCTGGCAACAGCAAAGGTGCTCAGAACTATTGCATAAAACCCACTTCTAATGTTTTTACACAAAAAATGCCAAATTTTCTGCCTGGATAATCCCTTCCCCCAAAATCATGAACTTCTGGGGGGAAAATCCCTGCATTGTAACACCAAGATAATCCTAAAACTTATAATGGCTTTAATAATGTAACCAGAAACTGCTGTTTGACATCAAAGCCCACACTGAGTGATAAAAGTAAAAATATACGTGTTCTTGTGGCTTTAGAGCTTGTCACCATTTATTTAAAGAAATGCCTTGACTCTGGGCCAATTCCTGATGATATCATTTATCTAATCTCAGAACAAATAAAATCTCTTCCTGGTTTAACTTCATTTCCCCTCTCACAGCTGACTATGGTGCAGCTTCTTCTGCTTCCTCTCCACTTTCTTCTCTTTTACAACATTTCTTTCCTTAGTCTTTCACCACCCCAGTTCTAAAATCTCATCTCTAACCCAGTTCTCACAACAGACTTCTCACTTCTACCAACTTGGACCTTCTACACAGAACTTGATTTCTTTTTTTGACAGCCAGCTGGAAGTCAGAGTAGGAATTAATAGGAAGCTGCAAAGTTCATGTAAAACTTCTAAATCAGTTATTAGGATTTCTCAACAAAGAAGGTCTCACCTTCTTAACTGCTGGCTTTATGCAAAGGTATGAAATAGAGAAGCATTGAAGACTTCATTCCCCACCTCCATTTTGACTCTAAAGGAATGTATCCACAAATCCAGCTGACCCCTGG